AAACTCGCCCATATCCTGACGCGGAGGAAACCGCAATGCAAACTTTACTTTCATGACATTTCGTGGCCCCCAGCTTGGATTCGAACTCGGGAGCACGCCCCCCCGTTTAAGAGTGCAAAGGGCTCCGACCTCAGGACTACATTGAACACACGATTCACCGATTCACATAGGAAACCCATTCAAAGACGTCTGCGGCCAGCGTGAAAGAATAGCCCAAGTAACCCTCTGTTCGGTTCTCTGGCGGAATGGCCCTTTCAGAATCAGAATATTTATCTAAACTGCTGGGGGAATCCGATGAGCTCTAAAGCTGCTTTTCGCAGATGTCCAGTAGAAAGTTACACCAGCGAACAATATCAAAAACACGATAGGAGTGCAAAGTAGAGGGGAAAGGTATACAAATCACAAAATAAAACTACTTTTTAAATGTATTTTACCGGGTAAAGCACGTTGAGCTATTGCTATTGCAGGGCCTGCACCTTTACCACAAGGTGAAGAAGGCAGCACATAACACAGAGTACCAGGAGTAATACTAATCAATGTAGAATATAGTCCACAGGCCAGGGAAGATATTGGTGTAACGTAAGGTCGCAAAAGTTTGGTGGTTACAATTTATTTACAAGGCTAATACGAGTAAATTATTTCTTAACTCGTTGCACAATGCACTGTTATTGCCCACATAAAGACACTGACGCCACTCTAGTTACTACCGACAAGTAACACACATCTCCCCTGGGCTTATGGACTGAGATTTGTAATGATATATTACGTATACGAAGTGAACAAACAGGTTATCAATGTAACCAAACAAAACATCGTAGGATGTAACGCGCAATTAACTGGCAATAACGTAAATGCAAATATTGGCGAGCTCCGTTCAAACGTTTTTCAACGTTCAGAGTAAACGCCTCATTGGAAGCCCCCAAACATCGCAACCCTTCCCCCTCCTGGCTCTGACATCCCACCACCTCCTCCTCTAAGACACACTGGGTGTGTAAACACAATAAACCGCATCAGAACATCACCAAATGGGAAACTTAAAGACACCAACCCACAGTGCTTTTCGTGACTGCAGGGATTCATATTATTGGTTATTTCGGTAAAGTCACGTAGAAGGGAAATACTAAAAATAAAACATAGTAAAATAAAATTCTCACGACGTTTCGGCCACAACGCAAGCAGCCGTCCTCAGGTGAAGAACAGAGCTGTCGGAAAGACAGCGTCCCGAGGACGGCTGCTTGCGTTGTGGCCGAAACGTTGTGAGAATTTAATTTTTTTTATTTCCCTTCAACGTCACTTTCAGTTTTCAGTTTCATTTATTTTGGTATAGCCCTGTGAGCCATTCGGCTCTTGAATCGGGTTCAACCACAACAAACAAAAACAAGAAAACATCTTTACCGAAAGAACCAAGAATATCAACCCATAGTGATTATAATCCAGACTCTGACCTGTGTATTTGGAGTTGGGGTGGCCGCGTGGATTTTTCTCCGGGTCCTCCGGTTTTCCCCTCCATATTTAGAAACACGTGTTAAAAGTATTTGGCTGCTCTAAATGTACACGTGATAAACCACTTCTTTGGGCTATCATTTGCGGCCAGGTCGCTTCTGAAAAAGCTATATATAGCTCAAGTGGGCCTTACCTGCTAAACTAAAAATAGATTAGAGCCACAGGAGTCTGCGCTCCTCCAACGGATGATGAACAGCGAACACTACAGGAACCTCTCAACTCATGAAGCACTCTCCTCGCTCTCCGTCGCATCGGCGGCATCAGAGACCTGGACAATTGGCACTTGAGCTCCTGAACGCATTGCAGCCATCACGGGCAGAGATTAGTTGGCGATGCGAGTGGTGGCGATGGTGTTGCGATGCGCACGCGACAAAGAACACCAATCGTTCAACCGCATTATTTCGGAGTTGAGAGGCGTCTATTGGAAATACAATATGGAGTAGAACGAAACTTAAAAAAATACGTAAAGTTAAATCAAGTATATGCAGCATCACAGCGTGCGCCGTGTGCGATACACGAACGGTAATGTGTGTGCGTGCAAATGCACAGTAGTTTATTCATTTAGGATGTTAGGAATAGGGCACATGGCAAAGGTATCCCCTATAAGAACCCAGTGAATACTTTAAAGGGTAAAGGCGCAGCCCTACAATTGCTGGCCCACACCAGTGCTGGTGGATGGGGCCTCCACTATTGGGCGCTCTAGAGGGCCTATCCTTACATGCCATTCAGGACGTCTGTACAAGAAAAAAGTACTGCAAGTCATTTTAGCAACTCAATCACTGTTAAAAATCGTCAGGTCGAGTGAAAGGTGGAGTAAAGTGTGGGTAGCTCACCAAGTAACACGTCTGGTTAACTTCTTGGAAGAGTAGGCCAAAACAAAACGTGTACACGCTTCTCGTAAACTAAACCTGAGGTGACATCACTCGGTAGCGAGTGGATTGCGGCGACAGTTTTTAGATTTGTATTTGACGAGTTAAGGCCCATGAAGCTGTAATAGTTTATTTTTTTAGAAGCGACCCCCCCCCCCCCCCCAGTGTCGCGGAGGCCGCAGACCCTCAGCATCGGCACGAGCCGAAGCAGTTGCAGGGGCTGCGCCTTCAAACGTCAAGACTCATCGTTAAACTCTCGCCTCTAACCTCCTCCTCTCACACGCTCCACGACTACACGACCCGGGGGGGCGCGCTTTTGTTGCGACAGGAACTCCGCACGACATTCGCGTGTATACTGCGTAGATATTAAACAAAAACGAGACATCACCAAACGGGGCTCCTCATAAATTGATCCGCGGCAGCTTCGCGAAAATAAATGAACGTGGAAACGAACCGAGGCGCCCAGGACAACGAAAAAATGCGTCTCCTTCTCGTGGAAATCCTCGTCGTCTTTGAGCTCCTGCCGCAGGAGGTCCATCACGTCCGCTTCGGACAGGTGCTGCTGACGGCTGTTCATCTCTCAAACCCCGTTACCGCTCTGTTCCGAACTAAGGAATAAACCACCAACCAACAATAACACCGCCACAAACAACACCAACGTGCCTACAGCCAAACACTTCCTCCTCGTGAACCACAGCCCGAGGCGCGAGTGGCTTTAAGTAGTCCGCCTGCCCCGCCCACACATTTCCGCCTCGTCCAATCGTGGCCGCGCTCCCATTGGCGCGAACCCGACGCCGCATTGAGACGCGCGCAGCGATTGGACGAAAACCAAAATAGCCCGATCCCTTTTAATAACAGCCCTCCCCCGCCAACTACCTGACGCCCCCCCCCGCTTTCCCATGCCCCCCCCCTCACATTGCCTGAACTTATTAATATTCATGAGACGTTATCCAATCATAGTCGAGCTTTTTTCAACGCGAGCCCACGCTGGGATGAGACGCGCTTAGCGATTGGATGAAAATGTTGATCCCACCTTCCCCCACACTCCCTCCCCCCCGTATTTTCCACGAGCCGCGTTAATATTCATGAGGCGTTGTCCAATCACGAGCGAGCTTCCGTCGACGTGCCCACGCTGCGTGTGATGAGACGCGCGTTTGCCATTGGCTCGTGGCTCTTATAGGGCGTGGCCACTAGAGCTTGCCCAATCAGATGTCTCCGCGGTGACGTCGCGCCCACGAGCGCTCCACGTGCGGTGGCCACGGCGGCTGCAACGTTGTCGGGGAGCGGTGGCGCAACCAGCCGAGTTCGATTCCCGCTCACGGTCAACGCCGGTGACTATTATTATCTGAACCGGTCCTGGGCCTCCCCCTAGGTAGACTCAGCCTCAAACGGGTACCTGGTGCGGTGTGTGAACGTCGCCACGAGGGAGACAAAGGTGGCCGGGCGTGGTACTGGCCACCTGGTGTGCCCTTGCCGGCCTTGCGAGGTGACTCGCTCACAGCATTTGCCCCAAAAGTATGTTGACGCTATACGGGGGACCTTTATCTTTGTAATGTTAGTCATTATACCGTGTGGCGAAATGGATAATGAAAGGTCCAGTCATGCCGTGTCAGCGCCGCACGCAAGACAATAAACAATTGAACAGCTGACTCACAAGAATGAAGCTGAGGCGAGCGTTGCCTTAGGTAATAAACATTGTGTTGTGTAATGTGAGGTTAGGTGTAGGTGTATAGACACACTCACTGTATAGAGAACAGCATTGTAACAGGGTGGTTCACATGTCCTGTGACCAGCAATTTTATTCGCTCAAACTGTTTTTTTAAAAGTAAGTTTTATTTAAAACAGAAAAGGAACAAAAGTGTTAGGGTTAAATTAATTGGGGCGTCAAAAGACATCTAGACCACTCTGGATTGGAAGAGAGCAGGACTCTTTGTAGGCCATGCGTCGTATCAGAAATTGGTAATATATAAGGGTAGCAAGCACATTAGTAACGGATTATAGGGTTAATAAAGTGTGAATTCATTTCTAAATAACTTGGAACCACAATTGATTCCCCTCCCATTGCTACCGACAGGTGAAATATCTCAACTGGCCTGAACGGACTATTATAACGCCCATTTAAAGCGACCTTAATGTGCCTTTATAGTATTGGCTGCAAAAAAAAATTCCCACAAGCCACTTAAATGGGCTATCATTTGTGGCCTGGTCGCTTTCTGGAAAAAAGCTACACACACTTGAGCTAAGTAGGACTTGCCTGGTAAAATAAAGTGACGAATGAAATGTCAACGAATTAAAATGTATTTGAACTATATAACTCTTTTTCAGAAGCGACCTGGCCACAAATGATAGGTCAACGAATGTATTGCAGACAAATATTCTAAACGCATGTTTCTAAACGTGGAGGGAAAAACCTTGGGACCGGGAGAACACGCAAACTTAAAATATACAGCAGCAGCAGGCGTCATGGTCGGGATGAAACCCACGACCTCCTGCAAACCAGGCGAGGTAGTTAACATCTTACCACCATGGCGCATCCCTGAGAATTAAAATGAGTTTTGCTTCAAACCACACTGCCGCTTTGCCGTGACGAATGACTGTAATGATTTCAATAAAACAACACATCCTGGATTCCAATGTAAGATATTGGTCATTTATTTGCACATCACATTTGTCCCAAATCACAGCATACATCACGGTATAATAGGTTCGACACCTCGGTAATTAGTACATTAAGACATCATGAACACATTGCTTAACATTTTTTGGGACGAGTAATATTTCAAATAAGAAATCAAAGCACCCGTACCCGGGACAGCAAAACATCTTCACTCATGTAAACAAGGCTATGGGATTGTCTCTTTGGCAGAGAGATGCCAGATGATTCCAACCCAGGTCTTTTAGAGAACACGTCCATGACGGGGCATTCCACCACCTGTGAAACGATTCAATTTGTGCAAATGTTTTGTTAAACGTTAATTTGACTTTGGCTCTCCCATCCCAAGTTGTCAGGCATGCGTGCCCAATCGCAAAAGTGTGCAAACTGAAAGTTATTTCACCAACGCAACCGTAGAACCCCCAAAATATCTCCCGTTTTGTTTTATGTTTAATGTTGCTTGGTTCAGACACAAACCTCTGTCCTAAGGCAGCGTGGTTCCCAACCTGCCGTACGTGAACCCCAAGAGGTACATACTCCATCTCCATCGAGTACGTGGGCCAAATCAATCACAACGGCGGTGGTTACGTGGGGTACGAGGATGCAAGTGGTCACCAAACAGTGTTTCGTTAAATTACAAATAGTTTGTATTTAATTGCCAAATTTGGTTTTGAGAATTGTTATTCAGGTGAATGAAGAGCTGAAACAATTATTAAGTGGCACGTTAGAACGCTTGCACCACGTGACAATTTAATGTTTGGCTACGTCGGGTGGTGGAGGGTCTTATGACACACTCAGCCAGATTATTATGTGGCCTAACCCCCCCCCCCCAAAAAAATACATACGCAACAATTAATTAATTATTTTGCCGATTTCGCTTTACGATCCGGCCTGCATTCCCCAACATCGACGTTTGGTCCGGGGCCGAAATCCATCACCGAACATGTTAGAAATCAAAAGCGAAGATGGGCACGGGGACATTGCAATGTTGTACCCGGGAGTCGTGGCCCGCCGCCCACCGTCACGTGGCTAGCTCCAGTGGGGGACTAGGCCAATCACGGACGCCACACTTCTTGCTGTACCCAACTTGCATTGCCCATCAACTCAAACTTCTGGGAGAAATTGGACGAACTCGGGCGCACTTGGGTCAACTCGAGTTGGCCGTCCACGGACACCAAACTGAAATTAAAACTCAACTGAAAGTCTACGTTAAAAAAGTACAAATTAAATTACAGTAAAACGCTTGATGGCATCTTAAGATAAATCCGTACGTTAGTTTAAGAGCACATTCATCTTTCACTGAAGAAAATTGCCGCTCCGATCTGGAGACCTCTACACATATATATTTGAAACATGGGCCTGCGACCGCATATTAAAAGTACAATATACATAGTCGTTAAGTGTATTTTCCAATATAGCCACAGCAAACATCAATACACTTAATCACGTACACGATTCATATTTAAGACGGTGCTTCAAAACAAGCCTAATACGTTTGCTCCCAAAAGTTTTTACCGCCCGTCACCATATGTCTCAGACAAATTTATGTGCCTAATGCCCTAAAATATTTTTAAAACACACATACATAGAGGTCTAATTAGCCAAAGGGTCTTATAACGAGTGCTGTTAGCGAGCGCCTATTCATGCCGGCACTGCATACGACACGTGGTGGTGTAATCAGCACCACGCACACACACACAGCCGCGTTTGCCTCCGCAATGCATTGTGCCAGATGCTTGTATCAGGCTGAGTGAACCTAGGGGGAGGAGGCCGATGCCACGGTAGCATTCCAATTGCCGGAAGTGCATCGTCTGGATTGTAATCCGGATCAATGTGATCAGAGAGACATTTGTGAACCCTGGCCGTCGCCAAAACACCACGCGTACCCACACACATATACACTGCCATTGAACGTGTACCTTAAAAAATATACATTTATAAACAGCTAAGTATTACCCATCGATGGTTGTGGACAATGTTTTTTGGCACAGTTGTTAATGAGAAAGTCAGGATCAAAAAAAGTGCAAAGGTTATTAAAAAAAAAATTAAGAGACAGACGGACCAAGCACTGAATGAACTGTTCATTACACTCCCACCCCCCACTATAGCACACAACAGGAGCAGTTGCCAAGAACCTATTAAGCCTGGCAGGTAACAGAGGCCTGCACCATAGATGCCTGGCCGCCCGTGTCTCCCCAGTGTTTGCTATTCACGCCTACGCCGTTATACCCACGCCGCCGTTGAAAGAAAGAGGAAAAGTATCATTTATTTTAAGGGGCCATTATTTCATCTCGTGCTTAAATAAAGGAGATCACTGTTTTACGCTGAGTTCACAACAAGGGAGGCACGGCCAGATTCAGATAACAGCAATTGTCACTGGCAATATAGATACAGGAATCAATGTCCAGGAATCAATCCCGGTTTGCTGGAATTGTAGCACAGAGTGCTTGCTAATCACTGCGCCGCCACTCTTATGTAGTAAGCACACACAAAGATCGACGATAACCGTGGACAGTCGGGGCCAGTGCCATTAGCAGAGCACTTATTAAGGCTGGCGTGGACACAACGCTGCGGGGATAGGGCGGTCGTCACCACGCACGCACGCCCGACCACCTTCGTCTCAACAGTGCTGATCTTCATGACCATAGCGCCAACACCGCACACGCAGAGAACTCAATAGTGCATTTTTTGGCTGAGCCACTCAAGCGTAGGTCCAAGCACATGGCTATTTTTGCTATTTTAGCTGGTGATGGGCATTACCATCACCAGTTAAAAGAGGCAAGGTTGAGAGTTCAGAATATACTGGAGATGTTCAATAGGGGTGGGTCAGAACGTTACACAGGTCGTGGGTAGCCTCAGCTCATCATCTTCACAGGGATTTGAAAAACAATACCACTGTGGGGAATCAATAATGGTTGTTCCAAGGAAATACTTGATTCTGGCATAGGAATGGTGAATTTCCACCGGTGATTTAGAGCCGGAGTGTGAAGACTTTTGTCGGTGCTACGTCCAGGAATCAAACCTGGATTCATGAGGTCAATTGGCAGAAGCCGACAGACATGACACCACATCACACCACATCATACGAGCAGAAGAGCTGGCACTTATTCCATCCCGACCCTGGCAGCCAACTCGGCTCATCCATCAATAAAACATCCGTGGAAGCCGCAGATCCCATGTTCTTTTAAAACAGAAAAATACAATGCATTAACCCACAACGTGCAACATTAAACCGATGCATTTATAAACAGTAAATCCAGCGCACATTTTCACATATGCATAAAAAATGTACACCGCATAACAATGCTGTCAACATGTAGAATTATTCTAAGTATCTGCGAAAATGGTTAACCGAAAAATACAATGGAGGCTCTCTCTATGGACTGGGTTGCCTCGCTTGTTCGTAATTTGTAATCTTTTTCGCAATTGCTGGATCACTGAATGTGTGCAATGCGTGATAGAAAGGAGGAAATCGGACGATGGTGGCAGTCGCTGACGACGCTGGTGTCGAGTGACCGTTTCAAATGGGTTTTTTGTCAATTACGATTTTGCAAGCAGTGGTTAGTGCCAGGCTGTTGCGTACAATTCCACCACAGATACACAAATGCTTTTATTCATGAACCCAGCGACCGCAGAAAATTTAGATGCACGCCAATTAATCTGTATGGGAGGTTGGAGCTGGCTGGTATGGGGAGACAGGCCATATCACCGATGCCCGTGTGAGCACAATGAACCACCACTTGAAATGCACATGTACACGTGTGCATGTACACGTGTACATGTGCGGCCGTTCGTCAACGCAATGCTGGAGGGACATCCCCATGCCATGTGGGTCTTGGGGAGTTGTTTGGCCATACTTCACCATGCTGGTCAGTCAGGGTTTGTCAAAATGGGGGGCTTAGGGAGGAGGGGGGGGTACTAACCTGGCATCGAAGTATGGTAAAGCAACTGGTAACATAATACACTCAAACTTTGCTCATCACGTGTTTTCCCATCGCGGATTTTACCTTTCGGGCCAAAATTTATCGAGGGTACATTATGCATCGTAAAGAAGTACTTGATAACTGCTCGCAATGATGCTGTCGTAGAAGAATACACATGCCATCATCATCAATAGCAAGCAAAAGTACTTCCTAATTTTTTGTATTGCACATTTACTGCACATGTCATGAACTCTTAGATTTATTTTCAGGTACATTTTTTCGTGTGTACAGTACAGTGCTGCACACTAAATTAATTAGTATAATTCTGTAAATTTTACTGTACAAATTATATTTAGCACTCAAGAAAGTATTAATCATAAATTACATTAAAAATACTTCTCGTTTCATGTTTATAATTGGAAAGGAGCGTGTGTTGTAGCACAAACCGTGCACCAAACCATATTTTCTCAATTGGCCTTTAAAGTGTGCGGATCGTGGGTTTTCCGATTGCGGACATTTCGAATAATGTAACCCCCCCCCACCCCGCGATGGGCAAGGTTTTGGCGTACATGGTGTAAAACCACGTGGCAATCATACGAACCACACCGGTTTTAGGAACTGTGCATTCAAATTGATCAACTTTCTTTCCAGAATAACGTTTCACATGAACACGATAGGACAGAGTTTCACAAACTCCAGTCCTCGCGACCCCTCACTACGCTCCGTCTTTCCGCGTTCACCAATTTACTCCTCCCATCCAAATGAACTCGTTCTACACCGCACGCACCTGATGATCGTTAAGTACGTCCCAGGTGACGCGCTAAGCAATGAACGCTGTCTGCGTCACGTGTTACACGTGCAGACCCGCACGCACGGAACCCGTGTACACGCACACGTGGAACCCGTGTACACGCACACGTGGAACCCGTGTACACGCACACGTGGAACCCGTGTACACGCACACGTGGAACCCGTGTACACGCACACGTGGAACACGTGTACACGCACACGTGGAACACGTGTACACGCACACGTGGAACACGTGTACACCGCACACACATCTCAATGTAACTGCTTAGCGCGTGTCACGTGGGTCGTGTTTAACAATCCTCGGTCGCTTTCAGCATGGGTACAAGTTAATTTGAATGGGATGAGTAACTTGATAAACGCGGAAAGACAATGGGGGTGGGTTGCGAGGATTGGAGTTGGAGAAACCCTGCGATCGACCCCGATTTTTTCAGATACTTGATCCACATTGTGAAATCAGACGCAAATTTATACTTTAAATAATCTAACGACCGAATGAACGAGCTCATGCAATATACTTGCCGCCGCCACCACCGCCACCACCACCACCAGCACCACCACCGTTACGGACATTGTGAGTGCACATACCATTGTGGCCCCGTGCGATACATCGCCCGGTCCGTGAACATTGATCAGGAAACATCGTGGGGCCAGCCAACGTCACCTTGCTTTTGGTACACACGCACGTTGCACGCACACACACACACACACGCATACACGCAATGTCACATCAGGAAATAATCTTCCTCTTGCTGCGCGTCCCACCCCTGCGTTTGATGATTGTTACTAATAGAGGATGCTGCTGCCATTGTGCAACGGTTAGCAGACTGGGACTTGCGGCGCAGAGGTCGCCTGGTTCAATATCCCGGGAGCGTTTCTCAAATCCGCCGCCCTCCTCATCCCGCACCTCTGTCCATCCAGCAGTACGAATGGGTGCAACCACAGCAAGTCGGTCGGCAAGTGTCACGTCTGGTGGGGTAAAGTGTGGGGGGATACTCCCCACCTCTTTCTCAAGACGCCTGGCCAGTTACAGCCAGGCGGCATCAATCACGTCATCACATCAGGCAGCCCCAGGAGAGGGGACCAGAAGAGCGGACCAGAATTGGAGATCACGGCGCGACTATTCTAGTGGTGCCCACTAGAATAGGCCTCTCGCCAGAACACTCGAGGGGGCGAGCTCCCTCGACGATCTCTGCAGAGTGGTTCGGCGGGGTGGCAATCAACCGAGGATATTGAAAATCTGAGCTGAGCTGGGCTGGGTGGAATTAAAACCAAATGTAACATCGTAGGGGTTTGTGTGTGTGTGTGCAGTTATTGGTGGCTGGGCTGAGACCATCAGCTCGCTAGGCCTGAGAACTCCCCGTTTCGTCAAGGGCGGCTGAAACCAGGGATCAACACCAGGCCATCTAAAATATGGATTTTTAAATAAATGTATGATTGTTAGAATTGTCTCTTCACATAACTGGAAATGTTGTATTCCCACAGCCTCTCAACTTCCCAGAGCGATATTATCCATCGGCATCTGTTTAAGGATGCACGCTGTGGACCAGCGTCAGCTTTCTGGGTCCCATCGCCAGTCAGGTTTGTCAAACAAATTCTGCCAGATTAGCAGACGTTATTGGCCAGAGCACTGCACGTAAATTATGGGACCCATTTGAGCGGACAACAACAAAAAAAGTTTGTGTGTTTTAGAGTGTGCACTTTCTTATTTGTGAACAAAGTTCCTTTCTGTTTAACATGCTCGCACATGTGCAACGTGGAAACGTATATTGTGACGCTACTACGTAAAGCCCAACTCTTTTTGTCCACGTGTAAATGCATGATGTGTACAAGGCTCTGGTAATAATGTACAAAGATTCTAAGAACATCAATATAATCACAGCAGCATCTGTATATATATACTACACAGCACATTTACCTATCACACACCAATTCAAGGCTATATAGATCGTCTCACATGAATGTAAACACCGTTCCAACACTGAGCATATAGATCTGTTAACAGTATTTGTGCTGTATACATTGTGCCACGTATTTGTACATTCTTGGGTTAAATGATAATTTCCCCCCCCCCCCCCCGTCTCTCGCCCTCGCATTGTTCGCTCGCGTATGGTATCGACAGTTTAACCAAAGTTGTGCTATTATATTATTGGAGTCGTGACATTAGGCAAATAAATGTTCCTCAGAGTTAAGGTTAAATATTTATGGCAAGGCTCAACTGGACAACATGGGGAGCTGGAGGCCCCTCCCTCTGCCCCGCCCACTCCTTTACTAAACCCCGCCCACTACTCACGTAGCCCTACCCATTATCCTACAGAGTAAAACCCGCCACCACAAGACAGCCGATTAGTAAGGTTTGTCACGTAAACCAAACATACAATTCGTTACTAGTACAGTGTGTTGGAGAGTAAACCCACATTTCCATCAGGCTTTTGACTGATGATGGAAATGTAATTGCTGGCGAAACGTCGTACTCGAATTGCAAACGTTGTAACGAATTGCCATGTTTTGTTTACGTGACAAACCTTGCTGATTGGCTGTGCCGGGTTGTGGCAGGTTTAACGACACATTCATATTTACGCGATCCAACCCCAAAAAACCTCTCATGGATAATATTGATCGCGAAAGCCGACATGTTAAAGCCCCACCCATCGCCTGCATCATGAGCCACGCTTGAAATGGGAACACCGATTTTTGTGTTGCAAATCAGAGTAAGGTGATAAACCACAGCCCATAGCATCTACAACGTCCTTTCGAGTACACGTCCTATTTCCACATCCGCCATTAAATACTGAAATAAAGTATGACAGAAGTTTCCTTGGCGCGTTCACCGCCTCGCAGTGCTTTCAGCATATTTGGTATTCTTCGTCTCGGATGTCATTATGAGTGGGGAGGGGGGGGGTAACTTCTGCCTCCAGAAATATTTTAAAAGTGCAGCAGATGATCAAATACTGGGGGGGCAAGGGGGGGCACCAGTACAAGCAACTTGTACAATTCATCCGAACGTTAATTACGCATGGCTAGACTGGAAGACAGAGGGAGGGGTGGTGGGTTGATGCATGTGTGGTCTGTGGGGGGGGGGAGGAGGGTGATGCTGTTGCCGTTGCTAATGATTATGCAGTTGCTATTGTTACTGAAGGAGATTATGATATTGCCACTGCTGCTGCTAGGGACATCACTGATGCTGCTGCTGGTGATGTTGATTCAAGAGCCGAATGGCTCACAGGGCTATACCAAATAAATTAAATTAAATAAATAAATGCAAAGAATTACACCAAATATTCTGATGAGGATGCTGCAGATGATAATGTTGTTGTTGTTGCTGCTGCACCTACTGCTGTTGCCGATGGTGCTGGCGATGTCACCGATGAAGACACCAGTGCTTCTAAAGATGATGATTGATGATTACGAAGATCCTGATGATGATATTCTTGCTGCTGCCCCTGCTGTTGATGCCAATGTTAATGATGCTGATCGTGCTGATGATGGTAAAAATGATGCTTCTAATGATGATAGTTAAGACAAAACAGCTAAAGCTGTTGTTTGAACTACTCACGGTCCTTCTACTGCTTCTGCTGCTGCTGAATATGGGTGGCAGGAGGAAGTTAAGGCTTTGAACACCAGGGAGAATAGAGGAAGAGGTTTGGGTCTGGAAATAAGAAAGGAATCAAGACGCGGAGATGGACAATAGGCAGTGCGATGCAGACGTGATACGGACACAGACATACAAAAGGACAGACAGGGAAACATAGAAGACAAAGAGAGGGACAGAGAGCCGCACAGAAACAGACACGAACAGGAGGCACAGATATTGATGCTGACGTCGATGGGAGACGCAGTGAGGCCACGGCCGGTGAGGCAGGCCAACTGACGGCAGCCAACAGACGGACGGTCGTCTCGCCGCTTCGCCGAGATGCACGGGACAACACTGCCTCCGTCGCTCGAAATCGGACAGACAGGAGATGCAGGTACACAGATGTGGACGGACAGGGTCCATTTGAACTCAAATTTTTTAGTTTACCAGGTAAGGCCCACCGAGCTATAAAGCTCTTTTTCAGAAGCGACCTGGCCACAAATTATAGCTCAATGAAGTGGCTTATCACGTGGAAATTTATCGTGGCCAAATACTCTTAAAGGTGTGATTCTAAATGCGGAGGGAAAAACCGGAGAAGAATCCACGCGACCACAGGGAGAACACGCAAACTCCATATATACAGCAGGCGTCAGGGTCGGGATCGAACCCACAACCTCCTGTATACAAGGAGAGGTATTTAACATCTCGCCACCGTGGGTCAGTCCGTGGGCAGGTTCGGGGGGCATGGCGAAGCAGGCTGAAAAGCGAGGCGGTCAAGAGGCGAGCGGAAGTCGGCGCAGACACGCGGCGAGTGCCGCCACCACCACCTCCGTCACTCGGCGTCGGAGGTGTCGGAAAGCTGCCCGTTGGCGCCCGTCACGCGGATGTACTCCACCTGCTGCGGGGCGGAGCCGGCGCCAGAGCGGCCGGGCCACCAGACGCACGACTCCGCGCCCGCGAACAGCGCCTCCATCTCCTCCAGGGTACGCCCGCGCGTCTCCGGCACGCACGCCGCGATGAACAGCACGCCCAGCAGACCCAGGCCCGTGTACATGAAGAAGACGCCTGCGGGGTCGCGGCGGGGGGGTAGGGGGGAGGGAGGTTCAAATGACTGTCAGCATTTGTGGTGACGATTTGGGGGTCATGGTCTGGCCGACTGTCACTATTCACGGTCGATGAAGATTTTGGGTGGTGAACGGCAGTGGTTGTTGTTGTAGCGTGTGCGCGAATGGGGAGCGTTCCGATTGCCGCTCACGGCCGGCATCTGTGGGGATTATCTGAACTGCTCCTTGGCCTTCCCGAGACCGAGTCGGCCTTAAACGAGTGCCGGGCGGAGCATACAAACCTTAGTTTTGGGGAAACAAAGGCGGGCCGGGCGTGGTGCCGGCCACCCCTACCGCTATCGTGTGGCCGTGTCGGCCTTAACAGTCGCCTCGCCAACAGCGCTATCCCCCCGAGCAAGCAGCCCGTGACAGGTCACGCCGAGGATCTCTCGCCATTGTGTGTGCGCGCGTGCGCACACGTTGCCCACCGTAGTACGTGAGGCTCTGCGCCAACTGCAGGAAGGTGAGCGACACGGCCAGGTTGCACACCCAGTTGACGGTGGCCGACATGGAGTTGCCCGTGCTGCGCGCCCACAGCGGGTAGATCTCCGAGTTGACGGTCCACGGCGTGGAGCCCATGCCTAACGCGTTGACACAAAGCGAGCAGGGTAGCACCGCGGTTATCCCGCTTACGCTGGGGGCCCGTTGTGTTTTTTTTTTTTACGAGGATGGGTCACGGCGCTCGGCGAGAGTTCCGAATGGATCCTGCCCCCCCGCCCCGTGTCGTTGACGACGCGACGGCGATGGAGCGATTGGGATAATCGGAAGTTTATTTTCTCGATAAAAGCCCAAAGAGCTAAGAAGCTCTTTTTAAAAGGGTGATCCGGCCGGCAGACAACATAAAAGCATTCCGCAATTCCACATTTTAAAAACAAACAAACTCCATAACAGCAATTACGCTGTAAAACTACATTTACACTTACATGGGAAACACAACAAATACAGCTCACGCTCTGTGATATTGCAGAACAAAAAGGCAAAAGAGTCCCACATTGTCTAAGTGTGCATAACATTAATAGTTTAACATTATTCAACTATACAGTTGACTATACAGTGCCACCAAGTACTAAGTCATGTTTTGCAGAGGGGTCAAATACTTATTTCCCTCGTTAAAATGCAATTCAATTTATAACATTTTTGACATGCGTTTTTGTGGATTTTGTTGTTGTTATTCTGTCTCTCACTGTTCAAATAAACCTACCATTAAAATTATAGACTGATCATTTCTTTGTCAGTGGGCAGACGTACAAAATCAGCAGGGGATTCAAAGATCGGGTGCGAACGCTCACCGGGGGCAAAGCACATGAGGTAGAGGATGAGTCCGAGCAGCGCGAGCCACGAGTAGGGCGTGGGGCAGTAGTTGTAGGCCCAGGAGAGGCCCGCCCGCTGTGTTGCGTTCGTGCTGCTGCACCTGCAAGGCCGGCGCCGGCGGCCAAGAGGAACGATCGCGTCAAGGACCCTCGTCTCCGACTGGCGGCGGCTGTCATCGTTCCGTTCCGTCCCGGATAGAGCCTCGATTGTGCCGCCCCTCATCCGATCCGGAGCCATCGTGGCGGAGGTGATGATTATAATGATGACGGACGGGCTGTTGAACCCTGACTCGGATGTGCTGCACGAGCAGTTGTGGCCGGGACCACGCCCCGTCACCTTTGTCTGGTGAGTTCTGATGTTAACAGAACTGCAACGAGTAGTCGTTGAGGCCGAGTCGAACTAGGGGAGGCCCAGAAGTGGTTCAGATAACCGTCACTGGTTGTTGGTGGCCGAGAGCGGGAATCGAACTCCGGTCGCCGGGTTCATCGCGCAGTGCGCTAACCACTGCACTGCCGCCTTCACACACATATAGACATACATCCCCCGTGTAGCCTTAACAGACTGTTGGGGAAAGTGCCGTTAGAGAGCACCTATGAAGGCCGGAACGGCACACGAGGGGGTGGTCAGCACCACGTCCGACCGCCTTTGTCTCCCCAGTGGCGATGTTCACACACCTCACCAAGTACTCATTTGCGGCTGAATCGACCTAGGGGAGGCCCAAGACCGGTTCAGATATTTGTGACCGGTGTTGGCTGTGAGCGGGAATCGAACTCGGGTCGCCGGGTTCGTAGTGCAGCGGCGCTAACCGCTGCACTACCGCCTTCACACAAACATGCAATGACACACGTGTGCTCACACACGCTTGCTCACACACAGACATGTGCTCAACAACGACAAACGCCATTCACCACGAAGTGGCGGTGAGATCACCACGGTGCCTGGGCCAGGGTGAGTACACTGAGGCCACGTGAAGTGTCGAAAGCTTGCTGGCAGGAGGTATAGACAAGTGACGGACTGAGATTTATGATTGGCAGATGTACCAGCTGTGCTTCCCACTGTGCCAACTCTCTGCATTTTATCCGCCCAGTGCTACACTCATTGTTGTGAGCGTTGCTTCTCTACCCTCCATTGTTGTAGGAGGGCGACTGCCTCAAACTCCCCTGCAGCGTCCTTCACGAACCTCCTCCACAGAGGCCGATCTTGACACCGCTGGTACCAGTCGTCGGCAAGTCCACTCCGCTCCACATCCTTCTGTACCATATCAGCTCCATCTCTTCTCTAGCCCTTACTGCACCCATTTAGCCCCCGCTTGGCCATGCACTCATATGCAAATAGGCGTTCACACGCGTGCTCACACAAAAAGACAAAGATCCCCGTATAGCCTTAACAGACTGTAGGGGCAAGTGCTGTTAGGGAGCACCTATCAAGGCCGGCACGGCACACGAGGGGGTGGATGGTCAACACCACTCCTGACCACCTTTGTCTCGCCAGCGGCGATGTTTACACACCGCACCAGGCACTCATTTGAGGCTGAATCAACCTAGGGGATGCGCAGGACCGGTTCAGATAATTGTCACCAGTGTTGGCCGTGAGTGGGAGTTGAATACTCGGTTTTCTGGGTCCGTAGCGCAGTGCGCTCACCACTGTACTGCCGCTCCCCACACACATGGGCACGCACACAGTGACACATGCGCTCACATACATTCGTGCGAGCGAGTTCCCACCTGCCCCAGGTGGCCTGGTCCGTGTTGTCGGGGTCGGCGGGGAGGCAGGAGGATTTGTCCACGTGCGATCCGTTCATCCCGAAGCAGAAGCCACAGTAGGGGTCCAGCATGCACGTCTCACACACGCTGCGCCCAACACACACACGGGCACAAAGATAAAGATCCCCTTTACAGCCATAACAGACTCTCGGGGCAAGTGCTGTTAACGAGCACCTATTGAGGCCGGAACAGCACACGAGAAGGAGGGTAGGTGGCCAGCACCACGCCCGACCGCTTTTGTCACCCCAGTACTGATGTGTACACACCGCACCATTTTTAATCCAAGTTAGTAGAGAGGCCCAGGTCTGGTTCAAATAATCGGCACTATTACTGGTCGGCCTCGGGGTTCTGGGATCATAGTGCAGCGCGCCAACCACTTCACTACCAGTCCCCGATCCAATACCAACACCCGCCGTTCGCCACCAAGTGGCGGTGATGTCACCACGGTGCCCGTGCCAGGCCAGGTGCACATCGAGGCCACGTGAAGTGCCGAAGGTTCGCTGACAGCCACGGGACAGACCCAGGTGCCATGGGTTGACTGACTGAGATGACTGGCAGATGCACCACCTGTGCCCCCTACGGTGCCAACTTGCTGCGTTTTAGATGCGCCACTCCCCACACACACACAGACACACGCAAACAGACACACGTGCGATGCTGTCACCTGTACGCCATGCATGAAGAGTTGGTGACTGCTGGGTCGTGGGGGTGCAGAATCACGGGGGGCGACGTCTGGGACGCGAGGAGGAAGGCGCAGCCCAGGAGGGCGAGGCTCAGCGTGGTGCCTGTGCAACGACAAAGACAAAGATCCCCCGTATAGCCTTAACAGAATGTTGGGTCAAGTGCTGTTAGCGAGTAGCACCGATGAAGGCCAGAAAGGCACACGATGGGATGGGTGGCCGGCACCGCATCCAGCCGCCTTAATCTCCCTCGTGGTGATGTTTACACACCGCACCAGGTACTAATTTAAGGCCGAGTCGAACTTGGGGAAGCCCAGAATCGGTTCGGATAATCGTCACCGGAGTTGGTGGCCGTGAGCGGGAATCGAACTCGGGTGGCCAGGTTCGTAGCGCAGCGGGCTAACCACTACATCGCCGAAATCCGATTGCTGGTGTCTACACTGCACATGGCCTGTAATGCAGCACTGTGTAAGCTGGGGTTGGTGGATCACACACACACACGTTCGTGAAACCTCCTCCCCACCCGTCGTCATCGAGGTCGCCATCTCCTGGCTTTGCAGGGTATGACGGCGGTACAGCAAGTGGGTTAACGTCAATCTGCAAGAGGATTGAGTGTTACCCCCACCCCTCACTCCCCCCCCGTCCACCAACGCACGTGTGGGTTTTCTCCGAGTACTCCGGATTTCTCCCATTGCTTATTTTACAGTGAAAAATAAACATGAATAGGTGAGGTGGCCAAACAACATCCCAACGTAGGCCGACAGAGCTTGGACAACAGTTCTGCGCTGGTATCTGGCCCACTACCCGCCTCCCCTGCGTCTCCCCGCAACCTCCGAATGGTTCTCTCTCGCCCTCTCTCTCCGAGAGCGAACGAATAAGCGGCGCAAATGAAAATAAAGTTTCCCATCGCGCAAGTCTGGGAGTCAACAGTCGTGGAGAACCGTCCCGACGCGACGGAGCCGACGCGTCGCAAATTTAACGTCCGGTGGGAAACCTGGCCGTGCGACCGGCCTCCGGGAGGAGGGGGGGGGGGTTGGGTGAGGGAGGGGTGGGTGGGGAGCCCGTGAGGACAATGGCACCTGCCATGCTGATGAGGCTGAGCTGCCTGCGACCCACGCGCTCCACCAGCCACACGCCGAGCGCCGAGAAGATGAAGTTGGTGAAGGCCGTGGCGGACGCGAGCCAGATGGCGGTGGAATCGTCCGCCACGCCGGCCATCTGCAGGATGGTGGCGCTGTAGTACCTGTGGGGGCGGGCGGGCGGGGGGCACGGACGTACACGCAGGCACACGCGTGGGCACGTAGACACGCGTACGGACAGATGCGCGCGCGCACACACGCATGGACACACACACGCATGGACACACACACGCATGGACACACACACGCATGGACACACACACACGCACGCATGAGTAATTTAGGATTCACACCGCAACCCCCCAAACAACCCCGCACCTCCGATTAGCACGGTTGGCTATGTACGGTGCGGAAGAAGTTCAATGTGCATACATAGACCTTCGCCGAGATATTCAACGATTTGGGGTTGGGATTCGATTCAAAGAGCATGCTATTTTTTCTTGTTTTCACCATCCCATTTGTACTGTGGCGGGTGGAAGGCAGAGGTGTGATACCGCGCAGGCACAAAAAGACAAATATCCCCTGTACAGCATTTACAGGCTGTTGGGGCAAGTGCTGTGAGCGAGCACCAACGAAGGACGCAACGCCACACGAGGGGATGGGTGGTCAGCAGCATGCCCGGCCGCCTTTGTCTCCCTAGTGGCGATATTTACACATTACACGAGGTACTCATTTTAGGCTGAGTTAACCTAGGGGAGGCACAGGACTGGTTCAGGAACGGTTCAGATAATCGCCGCCGGAGTCGGTGGCGGCGAGCGGGAATCGAACGTGGGTCTCTGCTGGGTTCCTCGCACAACTCGCTAACCCACCTCCACAGTGCGCGTGCTTGCATGCATGCGTATACACAGACACGCACATACGTACGCATGAGCGTGTTTTGATCGGCACCCTTCAGACGATGGAATAAACCGTCAACGTTACTTCTCGTCTCGTGTTCGCCGTCACCTCCGTTCGGCGGCAGGCGCGGAGCAGAGACGCGCACGAGCGCACACCGCCAGCCTGAACCCGCGGCAATTCATCCAAGGGCACCGGAGCGACAAATCGGCTCGCGCGCCAGGGTATGGTGCACAGACACACACCTCTGGTGAGTACGACGGAAATGACGACGACGCAATTCGTTTACCCATCGAATTCCGTATTGAGTATCGAGGCTGTTTTTTTTTTTTTCCGGAGCGTTCTGCTTCGGAATGTTTGGCCAATTTTGTCGTTGAAAGTTGAAAACGGCAGGAAACCGGGGTTACCTGGAGAAAACCCCACGCATAAGAAGGGAGAAATGCTCAAACAACCCCATTTAGCTGCATTGTCATCAAACCCACCGGACTTGAGTTTTCCAGATCTACGCGATTCATAAACCCGTGCCTTCCCAAGCGCAGGATTACAGGCGTGAGCCATCACACGTGCACACATGCATCCATACAAACGCATACATGCATGCGCATGGGCGGGCACGCACGCACACCGCATGCAAGCACGCAGACGCACACGATCGAACACATGCACGCGCGCACGCATGCACAGTCACGCACTTGACCCACAAGAGTTCAATCACGTTGCTGCCATCCTCTCCTGGCGATGAGTTCTAGAATGAAAGAAAGGTGAACCCTGAAAAAAAACCAATCAAATGCTGCGTCTGCTGCAAGAGAAGTCACAAACGAAAGTAGCATGCTCCCCACAAGAAAACACACGTCTGCCTTCAAACACCCGACTTCAAAACGGCAGCTATCATGTACTCTGGATTCATGAGATCTCTGCGCCTTGCTCCCCACCTGCAGACAGCTGGAATTTAAAATACCCCAGAACCTTTGTCAGGAAGCTATGTGGCTGAGGGGTGAGATCATCTATATACAGTAAATACAGACCTTAAATCTGTATGTCTCGTTCATTTGAACACTTTATTTAGAATTTACCTGTGAGCTAAGAAGCTCCTGAATCGGGTTTCATCAACGAAACAGAAAAACTGTAACGTTAAAAACACGACGCTTGCAACAGGTCGCTTAAAAATCATAAATACAATAAATACAGCAATGAAAAAAGTCAACAATTTTTATTCTTACAATATATTACTTAATTATGAATTAAATACTTAACTAAACTGAACATTAAGATTATAGAAACATATTGCAAAATAGTGCATCTAGAGTGAGGAAGAATATTCGATCAAATATTGCAAAACGAGGAATAGAAACGCCTTTGGTAAAACATTTTCCTGTGCAAACAATAAATTCGAGGTAACACTAGTAACCATAACAATCACCAAGACATTGCACACATTACAACAGAACAGGACTCATATACATAATAAGAAAATATTTGCATATCATCTACTTGCTTCAGCAGTGGCAGATTGGCAGTAATGCACTTGAAAGAAGTTGATGTTAAGGTGATTAAGTGAATGTGGTGACTGCGAATTAAGTTTTTGTGGTGATATTGTTCCAGAGACTAGGGGCGGTCACTGAGAATGCCCGATTACCAAAACCTGTTTTGTACCGAAGAACATTCAACAAAAACCACGATGAGCTCCTCAGGTTAGGTCTGGCGTCAACAGATCCAACAAATACTCTGCCGAATTGGAACTAAGGACATTTCTAATAAGCAAAGCCTGGTGAATGATTCTGTGATCATGGAGGGATGTTAGGCCAGTCTCTCTATATCGGTCACAATGATAAGTTTTATTTAGAGGAATCCAGAGCAAATCTTACAGTACTTCCCGACAAGGTAGAAAGCTGAAATATGATACATAGGTAGCTTTTAGGACACAAAGAACAGGAAACATCTGAACATCCTAGATTTTTCATTTTAAGGCCCCCAAATCTCGATTTTAAGTGCCCCATGAACATGTTTGCGTGCGTGATTCAGAAACCATTCAAAATAAAAATGTTGCGTTTTTTTGTTTGATGGAGCATTAAATGGCAAACAAAATTAAAGCGAGAACCATTGGTTCTACTTTTATTGTTTGAGATATTTCGGATTCAAGCGGTTTTGAAAGAAAAAAATCCGCATTTAATAATGTTCAAATCTGAATAATTCGAAAACGGTAAAGTTTTTAAGTTTATATGTTTGTTCTTTCTAATAAAAAAGAACGGAATCTTTAAACCGAGCGGTTTCCAGTGGGTACGTCTTTAAACATAAGTGAAACATTTTTGAATAGTTTTGAGTGTCTGATTGTAGATAAAAATTGTAAAACATAATATCAGGTTAATTATATTTATTGAAAACTTTTGCCCGCGAAGACAGGCCTTATGAACTAGTTGTATATATGTGTTGAACTTCTTTCGCAATGCACGTAGCCAACGGTGCTAATCATCCACTGCTGAGATCCGTGGGTAAAAACCCAGGTTTCAGACAAGTGTGATGAAACTAGTTTCTCGAGTAGCGAACTCTATCCCAGATGCGTGTTAATGTAATACTGTTTGAGATCACATTTGGGTTATTACTTCATTTGGCCAAATTCCAGTTCCGTGCATTTAATATTCGAGTTTGAGTAACAAGTGACCACAACTCTTTGCAGGCCATTAATAGCTGTGCCTCCAGTGTGGATAAAGAGGTCCACTCAAGTGGAATCAGAAGTAGGTCTGTGGCATCTTTTTCCAGGGACGCTTTTCTAACACATGGTGGTGCGCTGCTTGTTGGAAGATGTCCAAATGGACATTCTGCCAATTGCATAATCGGGATGGAATCGACGGAAGAAAAATAATCTGGGAAATAACAGTTGCCAAGGTGACCGCGGCAGTGGCGACGCATCGTGGATGGTGCACCGCGCTGTGAACCTGGCGACCCGAGTTCAATTCCCAGCCACTGTCAACAAACACGAGTGGCGAGTGACCTTGGAATACTAACCTGGGCGTATCGTTCAACCTAAGCTCATGCTGACCAGTGTGGGAAAATATGATCAAACAACCCAGCTCACCAACAGGGCATTGGGAGGCCTTGATCCGGCAACAGATTGTCAAGGAGCTGTAAATTAGTAAAATTGCCCGGGCCTATGGGCACGAGTGTCTTTTTGCCGCTTGCTCGGCTAATGAACTCCGATTTCAAAGGCAGCTCCTGCCCCCCATCAAACGAGCCACTTCCCCCACAGCTAAAACATTCATACCTGAACTTTCGTGATCTTTTTCCAAGGTGGCAATAAAATATTAAAAGTTTTTCAAGCATCTGCATGCCACACGGCCGATGTTATGAATAAATTTGGCACCGCGCATGTTTGCGTGTGCGTGTGTGTGTGCGCGCGTGTCCGTCCACCCATGGGCACCTGGGTCTATCCCGTAGCCTCCTGCAAGCAAGAATTCAACACTTCACGTGGCCTCAGGGTGCACCTAGCCTGGCACAAGTGCCGTGGTGACGGCACCGCCACTTAGTGAACGGCGATTGTCGAGTTGTGTGAAAGTGTGCACGCACCTGTGTGTGTGTGCGCGTGCGCATGAGTCGATGTGCATGTGTGCGTGCATAAAATGTTAAGGTAGTCTGTATTTAAAATAAGGGCCAAGGTAGCGACTCTGAAACATCCTTCGATTCGGCCAACATTTCACGGTTATGCATAATTCAATAGCAATAAAGAATCTCAATCGTGAATTGTATTTTAATAAGAACCACACTCGTGACTATATATCTATTTACATACGAGTGTAATTTAATGTTCGCGTGCGTGAATGTGGGGAGCGGTAGTGCAGCGGTTCTCGCGCTGTGCTCCGAACCCCGTGACCCGAGTTCGACTCCCGCTCACGGCCAACACCAGTGACGATTGTCTGAACCTGTCCTGGGCCTCTTCTCGGTCGACTCAGCCTCAAATGACATTTCCACTGGGGAGACAAAGGCGACCGGGCGTGGTGCTGGCCACCCAGACCCTCTTCCGCCGTTCCGGCCTTCATAGGCGCTCGCTAACAGCACTTGCCCCAACAGTCTGTTAAAGGCTCTTTATACTGTTTGTTTTTTTCGGTAAAGTCACGTGGGTAAAAAAATCAATAAAATAAAAATGAAAAGAACTAAATTAAATCACGACGTTTTGGGCGCAACACAAGCGTCCGTCATCATGTGTGGACAAACACAGCGAAGACAGTTGCTGAGATATGTCAAAGAGTTGTCTCTGACACGGGTTTATATAGCTGAGGAGGGTGGGGGGGGGAGGGCAGGGTGGGTATGGGGGCGGGGCTTGGGCTGGGGGAGTAATTCCCAAAGATGGGGATACAGCTCAAGTCCCACATCTTTGTCTTTGAGTGCGATTGAATGTGCCAAAATAGAGGCACAAGCTGGCACAGCCAGGAGCACAGGTGATGCATCTGCCAGTGATCTCAGTCAGTCAACCCATGTATGTATATTGAACTTCTTGCTCACCGTGCGTAGCCAACCGTGCTAATCGGAGGTGCCACCTGGGTCTGTCCTGTGACTTCCTGCTAACTAGCTTTCACACTTCAAAATGGCCTAAAAGCACACCTAGCCTGGCCACTAAGTGATGTCACCGTCACTTAGTGGTGAATGGAGGCTGTTGTTATTGCACATGTGCGTGTATATGTGTCTGTCTTTCTATGTATGCACGATGCAGTGTACTTACGTGTGTGTGTGTGTGTGCGCACATGTGTCTTTGTGTAGATGTGCGACAAATGGTGATTGAGTTTCAGGACAGGATCACCCCTAGGTCGGATCGGCATTAAATGAGTACTCTACATGGCTTATAAACAGCAGCATGGGGAAGACAAAGGTGGCCAGGCACAGTGCCGGGTACACGACCACCCCTCTGGTGAATAGGTGATCGCGAACAGCACTTACCCATGCAATCTCGAAGGCTGCATTGAGGGATCTCTGTCATTATGAGTATACGTTCACGGTATATATTTAAAATGACACATAACTGTTACAATGTCTGCAAGGACCGTGACGGCTAATCATTATCTGTCATCCGTAATGTCCGCTGGTCTCGCCGAGCGACGGCTCACGTGCGTCAATGTGCGTGTGTCTGTGCGTTTGTACGCATGTGGCACCTCTGGTCGCAACGTACGTAGCCAAACCGTGCGAGTCAGAGATGCCGTCATTGCGCAGTGATGAGCACAGTGCGCTGCGAACCTGGCGGCCCGACTTAAAGATTCCCAGCAGCGGTGGCGAACATCTCAACTAACGCTGGGTCTCCGCGAGGTCGACCTCGGCCTCAAATGGGTACCTGGCGCAGCGTTTAAACACCAGCACTGGGGGGACAACGGTGGCAAGCGCGCGGTGCCGACCTCCCCCACCTCCTTGGTGCGCTGTACTGGCCTTCGTAGGTGCTCACTAAAAGCGCTAACAGCACCTACAGCCTATGTCGGCTATGCGGTGGGGTCTTTGCGTGCATGTGTGTTTACCATGTGCTCTGGGTGCGTGTGCGTGCGCAGGTGTGTGTGGGTTTCTTTTATGTGCAGGTGTGTGTGTGTGTAAGAGTGGATGTGTGTGTGTGTGGTACTGGCCACCCACCCCCTCGTGTGCCGTGCTGGCCTTCGTAGGTGCTCGCTAACAGCACTTGCCCTAAGGCTATACGGGGGATCTTTGTCTTTTTGTGTGTGTGGGGGGTGGTGGCACAGCAGTTAGCGCACTGCGCTACAAACCCGGTGACCCGAGGTCGATTCTCACTCACAATCAATAACGGTGCCGAATATTTGAACCGGTCCTAGGCCTCTGTCAGGTCGACTCAGCCTCAAATGAGTACCTGGTGTGGTGTGTAAACATCGCCACTATGGAGATGAAGGCGGCCGGGCGTGGTGCTGGCCACCCACGCCCTTGTGCGCCGTACCGGCCTAACAGCACTTGCTCCAACAGTCCATTAAGGCTATACGGGGGAGAATCTTTGTCTGCGTGTGTATGCGCGGGCGTGCATGTGTTGGTGCGTGCGTACATCACTGTGTTGATGCCGGCTAGCTGCTGGAACATCTGCAAACCGCAGCCAACGATGAGTGCTCGCCGCGTAGGAGGGTGCTTTATCATCTTCCACAGCACCCAGCCTTCGAGCACGCGCGCGCACACACACACACACGTGGCACGGGGCACATGGAGAGGCAAGGTCAAGCCGATGAATGGGCAGGTATGGCTATGAATAGCTCCGCCTGTGCAAATGCCCCGGAGTGCGCCCCATCTCGTCAGATCTCAGGGGCAGCTAAGCATGGGTTGGAGTCTGGACGGGCGACCGCCGTGTGTTTCAAAGCAGGCGGTCCGGCCTGCCGCAGCAAAGTCGAGCATATGGACATCTCCAAACTTCAACACACGCCTTGTAGGAGTGAGTCTTTGAGCTGCAGTGAACCAATGATCATGCCGATTAGATGTACCAATGTCTGATATGTCTGTTGTTCACAATTTCACCCAATAAAACAAAAATCCCCTGTACTACGCCCGCCGGCATTCAGAGCACAGCGCCGACCAGTGGGACGAAGTAAGGCCCCCATCAAGCAGTGGATTGGCAGAAGGGGCCGTAACGCGTGCGAGACTGTTTAGAGCTCTCGACAAAGTGCCGTAAGTTAAGGTGAAGAGGTCACCACGCCCCGTCGTCGCTTGTGTTCTTCCGTTAGGTGCCAACGCTGTTACGTAGTCGACTACTTGACTTCCCAGGCTCTGCTGAGAGGTCTTATTACCCATCTTAGATTTCTCTCATTCATTAATTCATGAGCGAATCAATGATGGAGGGATAGTAAAACAAATTCTGTTTATCCAGATGAGCTCAAGACACAAAGAAAGTCTCATTTGCCAAAGTGACCTGAATAGATTAATGAATGAGTGATTTGTTGAATAGGAGAATTATAACATTTTTGTCTAACGAAAATGTATATGAATCAGCATATTGATTAATAAATGAGTGAATTTATGCACAGACAAATTCATGAGTGAAATTATTTATGAACATGTCAAGAGACGAATGAGTGAGCAGATTAATCAACGAGTGAATCCATGACTGAATGAGCTAACAAACTGGGAGATCCTCCGCTCACCTTTTCGCGAGCGAGGCTGGTGTACCGTCAGGTCTCCCTCCCTGCTGCCATCGTCCTCCTCCTCAGCGGTGATGCTCGCCTGGATCATCATCATCGTCGTCATCATCGCCGTCATCATGATCGCCGTCGTCATCGTCGTCATCATCGTCGTCATCATGATCGCCGTCATCATCGCAGTCGTCATTTTCGCCGTCATCGTCGTCATCGTCGTCGTCATTGTCATCATAACCACAGTTACTGCGCTCGTGACAATGCTCCTGGGAGCACAATACCACGCGGCTTTACTCGGAGGATCGTTCCGATGCAACTCCGATTCCTTGTAGATTTCTTTGGGTTATGACGTCAAGTGATCTGGCAAATGTTTTTTTTATCAAATAACCCTCCACCACCCGACAGCCAAAACAACTAACATAACCGTCACGTGTACAAGCGATTAATGCACCAATTGTATAAACAGTCGTCATTCACTAACTGAAAACATATTCATATATAGAGGATTGCAGAGCTTGGGCAATTGTTGGTGATGCCGGCTCACTGCCTCGTTGCTGCCTCCCAGTTTGTCTGTTGGGTCGTCGGCGATTGTGAAATCCAATTATGCATGAATGATGACGCGATATAAAACTGAACATTATTAAAATTACTACAATTAATTGTTTCAACTCACCGGAAAGCTGAATAGAAATTTACAGGGACTCCTCTAGTTATGAACGTTCTACTTATGAACTTTCAGAGATACGAACAAACCTGTGCGTATGTCCAGTTGCCTGTTCAGACCAAGAGTAGAGAGGAAACTACGAGCACCAGAGAATTAGCATCTACATCTGCAGAACATAAAGAACCAGTGGAATCCACATCTACAGGTGATTATACAACTTCTAAAGCCATTCCCCGTGTTTAGTGTACATGCCTTACAACATGTTTGGATGTTTGGAATCGACAAGAGTAAAATTGAGTTACGAACAGACCTCTGGACGTTTAACATGTAGACTTTCGCGACCAATATCATCCATAAGAGGTTATACCCGCCCCGGTGGCGGGTTTAACGACACATTTATAGTCACGTGATCTAACCCAAAAAAACCTCTATTATGGATAATATTGGTCGCGAAAGCCTACGTGTGGGTTAGATCGCGGAAATATAAACGTGTTGTTAAACCCGCCCGAGTAACCCAAAAAAACTTCTATTTTGGAGAACTCTGGAAAATAACTCGTTCGTAGGGAGGAGTCCCTATATTGTCATATTGCTCTGAGATTTTGGTCATATTCGTGGAGCCGCCCCACCCACCGCCACCACCACCCAAACCAGCCCAACCTCGTGTTTGGGGGGAAGGGGCGGGGCCTATTCAGAAAGAGGCGGGGCCTGAAGGAGGAGGGGCGGGTCCTCAAAAGGAAAGGTGCGGGGCTGAAAGAGGAAGTGAAGATGAGGCCTGATCACATGATCAGGAAAGGGTGGGGCCTAAGGAGGAAAGGGGGGTGGGGGGGCATAAAGAGGAAGGGCACAGGGCCTACGGAGGTTGAAATTATATTCATATGCTTAGTTCTTTCGGTAAAGTCACGTTGAAGGGAAACAATAAAATAATAAAATATATATGACAATAAAAAATTCTCACGACGTTTCGACCATAACACAAACGGTCGTCATCAGGTGTGTCGGTTTGCATACATTTATGGTCGAAACGTCGTGAGAATTTTTTATTGTTATATATATTTTATTATTTTATTGTTTCCCTTCAACGTGACTTTACCGAAATAACTAAGAATATGAATTACTGCAGTCACGAAAGCTTTAAATCAAAATTTGAGGTTGAAATTGTTCATTGCAGGTAATAAAAGCGTAGAATTAATTCGTTCCACCAAAACTACTGTTAATCAAAATAACCGTTAATCGAATACGGGAATTACACGTTATAAAGGCATTAATCCGTTCCAACGTAAACGTTACCGTTCATCACCGTCAGTTGAAACCATGGGGGTCCTCTATGGGAGGCGAAGCGGTAACGGAAAAGCCGCTAACCGATGTCACCATTAAACCGAGGGACTACCGTACTGTCAGATCCACGGAGTGGGGGGGGGGGGGGGGAGGAGGTTGCGCTTTACCGCGCAACAGTTACCCGGAGGAGCCAGTGGGGTCGCAACCGACCTGGATGCGGTCGAACTCCTCGTCGATGTTCTGCGTGCCGCGCATGCGGCAGAGGACGCGGCGCGCGTGCTGCGTGTGGCCGCTCCGCGCCAGCCAGCGAGGAGACTCGGGCAGGAAGAGGAAGCCCACAAACTGGACGACGGCCGGCACTCCCGCCAGGCCCAGCATGTACCTGCCGGCGGCATGGGTGGGGCGGGGGGCACGAGCGAAATCTTAAAAGGGGATTAAGGTCTTCCCGTCTCTACCCGCCCACCAACCCCACCCCCCACTCCGCCAAATCACTCACACTTGTAGCGGCACTTTCAAGGGGAGGGTGCGAAGGCTGCGGCGAGGATACCGTGCAGGAGGAAATTTCATATGCACGCAGGGAATGTCGGCGCCACATTGCACACGCGCACACAACGTAATACTTACCTCGCAGAAACATGCCTTTCTAACACTAAACACACTAATGCACGACACGTAACAAATGTGCTCATGGCTCACATTCACGAGCGACACGGCATAGGGAGGCCTTCATCCAGCAGCGGATTCACAAAGGGCCGTACGATATTATTATTACCCTTCAATAGGGCTACGATTTTGGTCAGGGTAATTTTTGTGAAATACAGTAGACAGCCGAGCTGCGAAAAAACAAACAATCATTCGAGCAAGGTCAAGGAATACCAATGGGGTGGTGACCGTTGTGAGTTGTTGTTTTAAATATAAGCAATGTATAACTATGACAACGATTATTCATGGAATGTACGGATGAAAGTTAAATACGTCCTGTGCTCAACAGCAGCGCCAGCGGCGCAGTGCCAACAAAACCCAAAATGGAAACGCGGAGCAGCAAATAGCGGTCGCAATTTTTTGTTCCAATCAATCGGCGCTTGGACATTTTTTCCCCTTCCTGCCGGAGAGAAAATCACTCGCCGCTTTGAGACGGACAATCGCCATCGCTAAACCCTAACAGCCACCCCCACGGGACACCACCCACCACCACCCACCACCACAACTGATGTATGTTTTTCCCCCCCCCCACCCCTCCGTCTTCCTTCTCCCCGTGTCATTTATCAGTTTGTGGCAGGCATGGACAGGTGGTATTAGGCACCGGTTGGGAGGATGTATTGGGGGGGCAGTGGGAGAGCGAGCGAGCAAGGGGGGATGTAATTGGAAGGTTTGGTGGCAGAGACGTTCCACAGCGGGCAAGGCGGGGGGGGGGGGGGCAAAGAGCGAGCGCGAGAGGAGGAGAGGAGGAGGTTGCCTGCCGAAAATTCTCGCCGACAGCCAATTACGGCACGACCCCCCGCGAATTCGGTTCGTGACCTCTCACCCCAAATCCGCCCACCTAATCCTGTCCCCGTCCACCCCGCCGACAATGACACCAGACGCAATATGGTGCAGCGGTGATACGATTTGGCCCCAAGGAGACGGAATAGAATGGTTGTTGTGTGTGTGTACTAGACCTGGCTGATGCCTGCAGGTCATTCATATTCTATTCCCACCGTACCAGCCCCTTGGATCATTCAGAACCAGAGTATTTATACTGGAGGAATCCAATGAGCTCTTTTTCACAGATGTGCAGCCGCGGTAGGTCAGAAAGTTACAACAAACGATGCAAACACGGGATACGAGTGCAAAGTATAGGAAAGGTAAAATAAATAAATCACTTAAAAATATATATACAAATAAAACTAAAAAATTGTATCTTTCCAGGTAAGGCCCACCGAGCTATTAACATATTTTTCAGAAGTGACCTGGCCACAAATGATAGAAAAACGAAGTGGGTTATCACGTGGACATTTATAGCAGCAAAATAATCTACAGGGTGTGCTATAGGTCTGGAATCATAGGAAAAACACAGCTGTGTTATTGTCTGTTAAATTCAACAGCGACTTCCCTCTGACTCCGATTTACTATGAGTACATCATCTGGACTCGTTCGTTCGTTATTTTGATTCCAGACTTATGGGCCACCCTGTAGGTAATATCTAGACGCATGCAGGAACCATGGCCCTTCTCTCTAGGGTCGACTCCTATGTTAAAATCTCGAATCCGTTGCCCGGAGACTCGGGCAGGGATTCTGCCACGTGGGAGAATTTGTGCAAGAGAATTAACGGGATTCTATTGAGATTCTATCGCGAACCCGGATCAGCAGAGCTTGGGCGAGTTGAGACATCGTGAAAAGTGTCTAAATAAATGCAAGTAATTTTGTTTTTATTGCGATTCGTTTATAGTTGGTTGCATCCAGCCACCTCCGATTAGCATGAGTGTCTATGTACGATGCGAAACATGGTGATGATTCAGGCCAATGCAGCATCACCAGTGAAATGCATTGCCGATGGCTAGCCCATAGAAGGGAGGAGCTATGGGGCCCGGTCTCTGTCGTGGACTCACCATAGAAAAGTGTAGCTGGTTGGAATCAAGACTCAATACCAGCGTCAATTCCACAGGCCCTCTTTCTTGATTGGACGTTTCGACGATTCTGCCAATTCCACCATTCCGCTACGAGCCCAGAGACCCGAGTTCGATTCCCTCTAACAGTCAACGTCTGTGACAAATATCTGAACTGGTGCTGGGCCTCCCCTGGGTCAACTCGGCCTCAAACGAGTGCCTGCTGCATTGTGTGAACATTATCCCTGGAGGGGACAAAGGCGGCCGGGCGTGGTCATGGCCACGCCACCCCCTTGTGTAACACGTCAGCCTTACTCGGTTGCTCGCTATCAGCACTCGCCCCGACAGCTTGTGAAAGACAACGCGGCGTCAGGCACATTTCTGCGTTGTTCAACCTTCAATTCGTTTTCTCGTTGCAAGCGAACGACCCTCGACTCTGGAATACAGAGGCAGCGAGGCCAAGTGCCGGTCTGAATGGGCGCTTGCCAACAACCCTTGCCTTTGTTGTCTTTCCCCCGCAACCTCTGATTAGCCGCGGTTGGCTACATACGACGCGTGCGAAAGAAGTTCAACGTACATACAATACGTACGGAGAGCCTGTGGGGCTCAAACGACATACACCCGTGTTTTGTGCGCGTGTACGTACTGCACGTCGTTCGTGACGTGTGTCAGAATGGCGCGTGTCAGAATGCTAGTACGCGTGCATCAGTGAGCATGCATTTCAAGTCGGGCGCGGTAGTGTAGCGATTAAGCGCGTTGCCCTGTGAACCCGCCGACCCCAATACAATTCTTGCTCATGGCCAACGCCAGTGACGGTTATCTGTACCGCTCCAGAGCCTTGACCCAGCCTCAGATGAGTACCTGGTGCGGTGTGTATTAAACATCAAGGTGGCTGGGTGTGGTGCTGGCCGCCCATCCCTTTGTGTGCCGTGCCGGCCTTCATAGGTGCTGCTCGCTAACAGCACTTGCCTCAACTGTCTGTTAAGTCTATACGGGAGATCTTTGTCTTTGCCATTGGTGAGTGGTGGCACAGTGGTTAGCACACTGCGCTGTGCATCTTCATACGTGCTCGCAAACAGCAAGTGCCCCATTGCTTGTTTCGGCCAGTGGTTCTTAATCTGGGGTGCATCACGAATCTCGTGGGGGGTGCGAGATGCCCTTTCTGGGGGTGCGAGACATGGCCCGATTTTTTCCCAAGGTAAATCATCGAAAACACAAATTAAGCATGGGCACAGTAAGTGCAACTACTTAGTTTAATCAAACTATGTGTAATCATGAACATTGTAAACATTCTTCTTACGACTTGAGAACCAAAGGGGTGCAAGGCTGCGGTAAAGATTAAGAACCATTGGTGATGGCTATACGGGGGAGCTTTGACTTTGTGCGTTTCAAACCTTGTCAACTTGCATAGTAACTGACACCGGCCAGGATGGATTTTAGTGGGGGTGCCCATTGTCCGCCTAATTTCGTCTGCATTAGCAATTCAAGTATTATAACAAAACAAAAAAACTCCGCCACATGGCCTGGGAGAATAATGCCACGGACTTGGCGAGTGGAGTCGCAGGATGATGGCGCACTCTCATTGACGCTCTGAGACGAGCGGTCAATCAATTTGACATTTTAGTATTCGGAGATGGACGGCTCGGAAAAGCAAATTAGTGGATTTTTCTTTTATTTCTTTGCATGTTCAAGTGATTTAGCAAATGGTGCTGAACTTGTCAACTTCGCTACGTTAAGAGAATCCCGGTTAAACTATGGGCGGCCCAAAACTGGACTTGAACCGGCGTTGAAGCCTCTCTCTCTACAGGATGCTTTGGCCGATACTCTGCCACGCCGAGTAGACGTCGTGGACGAGCTGGGAGTCCCCACACTTGACGCCACCACACTAGACCTGCCCATCAACTGGATGCGATTTCTTAATTTATACCGCTGGGTGGACACTGGCATGGGGAACATTGCACCACTGTGCCAAGACGGCATCATCCCTCCACTCCTTCAGGTGCAGATTAATTCTAAACAGTAGAACACACAAATACAAAGATCCCCCGTATAGCCTGCAACATACTGTTAGGGCAAGTGTTTGTTAGGGCAAGCGAGCTCCGATGAAGGCTGGCAGACAATGGGGTGGGTAGCCAGTAGCACGCCCGGCCGCCTTTGTCTCTCCCCTCCCAGTGCTGTTGCTTACACACCGCACGATACTTATTTAAGGCCGAGTCGACCTAGGAGAGGCTCTAAACCGACTCAAAGTTTCACCAGTTATTGGTTGTGAGCGAGTATCGAACTCGGGTGGCTAGATTCGCAATGCAGTGCGCTAACCATCGCGCCACCACTCACCAATGGCAAAGATAAAGATCCCCGGTATAGCCTTAACAGACTGTTGGCACAAGTGCTGTTAGCGAGTAGCACCTATGAAGGCTGGCATGGCACACGAGGGGGTGGGTGGCCAGCACCACGCCCAACCGCCTTTGTCTCCCCAGTGGCGATGTTTACACACCGCACCAAGTACTCATTTGAGGCCGAGTTGACCTAGGGGAGGCCTAGGCCTGGGTACAGATTATCATCACTGGTTTGGTTCGTAGGGCAGCGCACTAACCACTTCCCACCAGTCACCAATGGCACACACGCACGCGCACAAACACACACGCGGGCACACTCCACTCAAGAGCCGAGATGTTTCAAAGCAGGAAAAAAACCACCGCCACCTTTAATGTGCAGCCCGTACTTAACGAGAGACCCCCGTGCCAGATTGCAATGCCACCCGTTAGGGGGGCTTCAATTACTCACATTGATCTTCCCG